TTCCCAGTCAGGGTACATGCCTGGGTTGCAGGCCAGGTTTCCAGCAGGTGGTACCCAAAAAGCAACCACGCATTGATGTTTCTCTCCCTCTCTTCTCTCTCTAAAAATAAATAAATAAAATCCTTTAAAAAAATCAAATACAATCCACCCTCCTAGAGACTATAATAGGGGTATTAAACCTAAATTCTAAAATAAAAAATAAAAATAAATCAAAGCTCATTAATGGTCACTCTTTATCTTCTTCAACATCCTTAGGGCAGTAAAAAGAACTTTACAAGTGGAATATGGTAAGAACACTAAAAAATGAAGAGGTCCACTATCTCTTTCCTCCCCAGGCACTGGGTAAAATTATAAACTCAATTCTGAAAATCTTTTGGTGAAGTTTGTTTTTGCTGGTTGTCTCAGAGGGAGTGTAGAATCTTTTAATTTACTCTTAAATTATATGCTAAGATTCTCTGTTGAGTATGAGAGTTTATTAAAAATTCAAAGGAACAATATTAAGGAAAATAGGTATTGAAGGAAGAAACAAGTCAGTAAGATCTACTTTGGGAAAGAAGGGTTTTTGAAGTTTCTTGGGGATCATATGGTTTCTAACATACATAAATTTCAGAATTTGAATCCATGATCCTATTTGCAATGGCTAATGGCAACACAACTAAAAAAGACCGCAGCCTAGCATAAAGGACTACTTAAAAAGTCATTGAAGAAAGGAAATAGGCTCATAGATAGTCCAATTCTGCTATCATTACTTCTGTTGTGTTGCCACTAAAAATAGTGGTAAACATCTCCAACATCAGAGCACTGCTATGAATCTACAGTTTAAGACCAACCATAGAAGAGAGAATGGAATAAAACATTTTCTGTCCTTAAGGCTGCAGACCATGCATTTGCTATGACTGTCTCTGAGACTCCAAGAAACTTGGACAATGAAAATTCATTCAGCAGGGACTTAAGAAACTTTTGTGGTGGATTGTTGAAACTTCAAGGGAAATGGGTAGCACAGTTAAAGTGATCTTTCAAACTCAATTTAGATTCAGTCATGGATTACAGAGATAAATCAGGAGTGGGCTGGGTGAAATGACCAACCCAGTCCATTAGAAATGGGATTTAATCCCTCTCTTGTCTGGGGCTCTCCCCCTAATTGCATGGAAATTACTCCTTCATGGTCCTGCATCTTATTACTTATTTTTTAAAAGACACGTAGAAGGAGTACAAAATTATACAATGAAACACTTTATATGTCAGAAAAACCACTGTAAGATTTTATTCTAGGTGATAACTTCCTGTTTGACTTTAGGAGGTTACTTTATTTTGTTGATCTATCCATATATGTTTTAAAATAAGATTAAAAGTTAGGATAAACATAATTATCTTACATAATGCATCTCCTTTGTGAGTATTAATACTCTTAGCTTTTTAAAATAAGGGTGCTTTACCCATACAAGAAAATTACTATCATTATTCTTTATGAATTTAAATGAGTATAAATCAGTTTTTCCAATTCCTGTCTCGTTTCATTTTAATGATGACTTTCCAACACTTAATTTTTCTTCCAATTTCATAAATGCTCTCATGTCTTAAGTTCCACCCTTCTTGGCTCATATATTTTATACACAGCATGTCTAACATGAGCTCATAAGACAACAAGCTTAGACCTGTTATAACCACTGGCATTTTGCACTCTTACTGGGATTTTCAGTTTTCAATTTGGCCAGGCCAGAATTAAAGTGGATGGCAGTATTAAATGAAGTCAGATACACCTAGAAAGGATTCTTGGTTGCTGTTGTTTTGTTTTGCTTTTTTTGAATCTGGGAAGGAATGGTGTGGAAGTAAGGTGGTTTCGGGTAAAAAACATAGTTTGCAACCAAGGAAAGTAAAACGGCTCCCTCAGTTGTTTCTGGGCAAGTGAGAATTCTACCAAGTACTCCAGAACCCCCCTCCCCCTTAGGCCTTCCTTCTCTCCCTTTCCCTTGCCCAGGCTTATCCGCCCCCCCCCATAAAATCTCCAGAGTGGAAAGCTGACAATGCAGAGATCTGCAGTGTTGGGGGCCAGGCTTCAAGTAATGGGACAACTGCTGCTGCTGGAGGCATTCGTCAGTGATTTGGTGCATCATTCCAGTCCCTCTGCTCCAAAGCACAGTGCATTTCTGCTCTACTGTGATCACCCATGACATCTGTAAATGCCCGAAGGGGGAAAGGAACACAGGGCTCCCTTATTTTTTAGTATCCCTACCACATTTCTGTCTTGAAGTTCACTCTACCATCCAAAAGGAGCAATGGCTTTTTGTAATTTAAAGGATAACGTTCCTTCCGTATCTTTTAGAATTGGCTTCCCTACTGGGACTTCCCCTGCATACAAAACTCGACTATAGGGCATCTCAAAAAAATTTTTTTAATGAAAACAGCATACTAATGTTTTAAAAAGATAATGTTATACAATAGCTGGAGATTAAAAATTAAGATTAAGATATCACATGACCCCAAACAACTCTTCAGTGCAAACAGAACAAACAAAACCTCCCCAACTGCCTCCCCCAATTCAGACAAAGCTGCTTTACCAAAGCAAACGCACCTAAATCAGATCTCCCTTATAACAGAATACAGTTTAAAAGCATCTGTGTTCATTTCTTCCTAAACACGAGTTCAAATTTATCTGAAACCGAACATTGCCACGAGAGACCTCTAGGGCGCAATAAACAGGTACAGCCCGCGGAGCAGAGAAATGGCATCATGACCCCTACAGTCAGTCGATGCAGATTGCAGTGCAGAGACTCTTTCCTCAAAGAAACCAGAGAGCTCAGCGCAAAATGCTTTAGTAGGAGAAATTGACAAAAGACGGGAAATTACTCTGAAACCTTGGAGGTCTCCACCGCCAACAAAAGCAATTCATCAGGACTGACTTTTGACCCAAGTTCTTGCAGAGAAACAGAATGAACCGTCCAGGCGAGCCCCGCTGCGCAGTGCGCAATGCGGCCGGGGAGCTCAGGGCTGGCGCTGCCACACTCAAAACGTGCTCGGCTGCCGCAGAGCTCTGGGCCGCGCGCCTTGTTACCCGTGACTCCGCGAGACTCCGCGCTCCGGGTTTCCGAGGTCACCAGCACCGCGCGGGAGAGCCTGGCCAGGAAGGGAACCTGGGCGAGCTGTGTCTTGGGTCCCTAGAGCGTTCTCCCCCTCTGTGCAACCTTCCCGAGGCGTCTGGCCCGAGGAAATGCGTGCCTGGGCTCTGCGCCGGCCAGGTTGGCATTTTGCAAGAGGCCACCGCTTCACCTCGGGAGGCACTCACCTAGCTGGAGCTTTCAACTGCCATAGACTCACGAAGCAGTGATTCTCCTGGTCTTCGCTTAAGTAACTGTAAATTCTTCCAAGCAGGGCACTCCAGCTTGCAGCCAGGAGCACCTCTCTCCTGGTAGTGATGGTTTGTCAGTCTGGAGCAGTGATTCTCAACCAATGTGCCTCAAGAATTTTTAAAACGTGCAGTACCTGACTATTTTGTCAGGGGTACTGACTTTTTTTTTTTAATTTGTCAAATTTAAAACAAAAACAACACAGCCAACACAACAACCTGGTGTAAATGAATCAAAATTATGCCTGTTTTTTTCTCAGATTGGCAAAAAAATATATTTGTTTAGTATGCTGAAGAATTTTAGTAATTAGTTTATTCGTGTTGTGAAGTGAAAAAGGTTGAAAATCGCTGGGCTAGAGCCCATTTGCCATAGTAGATGCTCTTGGTGTCCTCAGAGTGGAAAGGTTAATTTAGCAATTTTCCCGGAGGTGAAGAGGTGTGTGAAGGCTCTTGGCAAATTGGAAAGCTCTGTTTAAGGAAAATGGGCATCTTTGATCTTCACTGTGTCTCTAGAACTTCCCTCCCTTTAAAATAGAATGTAAATCTAGTTTTTGTTCACAGGAGGGCTTTTGTTCACTGTGTTACCTCCAAAGCATAGAACAGTGCCTAACAGTATGTAGGTGGTCAGTGAGTAACTTTTGAATGAATGAAAGTACAAACACATACACTTCAGGAAGATGGTCAGATTGGATATGTATTCAAATTCTTTTTGCTTTTCCGGGTAGGAAATTGACCAAACATTTACTGGGCACTACTCTTTGCCAAGTCTTCTAGGCTTTGGCAGGCCACAGGGGAGCAGAGGAGGGCTGGCAACTAGCATTGGTCAAGGACAAAAAAAGTTGGGGGCAACTTATAAGATCACTTAGTTCAAGCCCTGCACCCTGGATTCCAAGGATGATTAATTCATCCCCTCTCCTTTCCGCTCTCCACCACCCGCACCCCCCACTCAGTCTCACTAAAAGCGTATTCAATAGCATTTATTAAGTGCACACAGGGAGCACTTATTAAACATTTGTTGATGGTTAGCATGATTTGCTCCAGGGCAAGTCAAAGACCCAGCTCCCTCCAAAGCACATTTCTCCATAGCCAGGCCTGGACCATCCCGGGCACTGGGGGACTACTACAGGGCCTGGCTCCCAGTACTCCCAGCAGAAGACCCTGGGATACAATGGCCCCTGCCAAATGCCCACGGTCAGGGTTCCTTCACAGGAGCCCAGGTGATGGACTCAGCTTGCTGGGAACGTTTCCTTCAGAGAAAGGGATTTCTGCAGTTTTGTCCTCCACCTGCAGCCTGACAAAAGCTGGGCTGGGGGCCCTCTAGGGCAGAGAGCGGCGGGAAAAGCTGGATCCATGTGCCCCATCGCTGGCCTCTGCCTTCACCACCAGCCTGAGCACCCGCAGGCATAGTGAGTCCACGTCGCCTGTCCTCGTGCTCTCCAGGTGCGGCAGCTCTGGTAGCCAGGCTATCTTCTCCCATCTACTTTCCTCTTGAGTTTCTGCTAAAATCTGGAGACCTGGAATTCACCGGTGGAAACTCCGAGCCCCTCCAACTGAGCATGCGCCAATGCCAGGCTGCTTTTGGTCACTCGCTCTAGAGTTAGCGGGAGGGGCGGGGGAGGCACAGCGGGAGGGGTGCCTGGCGAGGTGGCAGCTGGCGCGCCTGCGCACCCAGCTCCAGCGACCCCAGGTTTTCTATGGGATTCCCAGTCTGCAGCAGAGACTTACCCGAGCGTGTTGCGGCTGCCGCTGGGTTTGGAAGGCGCGATCCAAGAGGGATTTAAGCAACCTAGAGCGCCAGAGGATAAAAAAGAGCGTGAAAGAACCACGCACAGAGACGGCTTAACCGTTTGCCCGAATTAAATATATATAAAGAACTGTTGAGTGTTGTCATTTTCGTTAGGTGGCCGTGCACAGCGCTATAACTGTAAGTAGAAAAAACAATATTCGTTGCATTCTGCGTGTGTAGTGCAGCCAATTGTCTGGGAGATGCCTTGGTTATTGTCACATACTTTGCTTTGCATATAGATGCGTCTGCATGCATGGTGACAGTTGCTTGGTTAATACTGGCCGTCTGAATGTGCTGTTAGTCCATGGGGGACTTTTGGGAATAATGGGGTGGGGGGGAGGGGGGGTGTTTACATACGGTATGTTTGGGGTGGGAGGGAGTTGTCTTCGGCTAGATTTAAGAAAGGTGAAACAGAGGTGATTTTGCAGTTCAAGCCTATAAATAGGAGGATTTCCTTACAGATATTTAAAACTAATCGACCGATTGTGAAGTTTTCCAGTTGCGGATAAAACTACCGAGCGTGTTGCAGTCAAGTAGCAACCTGTCATTCGTAGGGTTGGTGCAGCGTTTTTCTCACCGTGGAATAGCCGTGAAGGTGTTTGCTAAGTGGACCTGAGTGGACGAGATAGTGTGGAGCACAGGGTTGGTTTCCAAGAGGGATGTTAGTGTTTAGAACCACGCATCTTGAGGCAAAATAAGCACATTTCTCTCAGTATTTAAAAACGAGGGGATAATGTTTCCTTTTTGATTTTCTGTCACGATGGTGAGTGGGCAGAAAAGGGACAGATGTTCCACCGCACAGTCAGCCGTCTATTTTGAACAGAGTCTGAGACACAGAGCGGCTGAATGGGGAATCGGATCCAAACTAGTAACCTGCCTCTGCACCCCGCGTTCGCGTTCCGGAATACGGGGTTGGGAAATGTGCACCCAGACGTGTTACATCTAGTAGTGTTTCTTTAAAGGAGGAAAGGTCGTTGTGTAGTGTGTGTGTGTGTGCGCGCGCGCGTGTGTTTTTGAGATAGATTGCTCCTTCCCAGAAACGGGAGAAGGGTCTTTGCAAGGTCAACCCCCCTGTGGAAATGTGAGGTGCTGGTGAATGGGGGGAGGGGGGAGGCTGCCAGAGGAAACGGTGATGCTCCGTGCAAGTGCTCATCACAGCATTGCACGTCTCAGTGCCCGGTGAGATGCAAAAGTAGGAATCCATTTTTCTAGAGTTGCCCTCCTGTCCATATTTTGGAGACTAAAATGAAATGGAAATGCAGTGGGTGTAGAATACAAGTATATACTATCTGTGTTCCACATCCCACTTTAAGACAAAGACGAGCAAGGGAGATGTAGTTCTACTTATTATATTATTACTATTATTATTATTATTTTAATTTAAATTTTTTCAGGTTAAGTCAAATTAAAAAGGAAACTCTTATGAAAACACATTTTATCTCCACTACCATCAAAAGTGCCTACATGTGTGAGTGGTGGTGGTGTGTGTGTGTGGGGGGATTCTGCATTACTGAACATGTTCCCCATGAGTGCACACACATTAGGCTTGGGTGTTTAATAACCCCAGAAAATGCTGCACTGATGCAGGTTGGCAGAACGGAATGAGGCAGGCAGACAAGGAAGGAAGGAGCATGGCCAGTGTGTGCTGGATTGCCACAGAAAAGGGCAGATCCAATTTCTGGGATGAAATGAAATAAAATTTTCCCGAAATAGGGCAGCTCATTATAGGGCTCTTTGCCCTTTGGCCAGTCCAACTATTTAGAACCTACTCAAAGGAATTTATCATTTATTTAAATGGGTGAAATTTTAAATAGAAAATTTGAGAATATTTTCTCCTTGAAAAATCAAAGTATAAATTATACTGCCTTCTCTGTTCTTCCCTTCCTTAGTCAGGGCAAAAGGAGCAATCATTTGTCACAGTTGAGCCATATTCCTTGTCTTCACTGAGAGTTGAATCAGCTCCATGAGTAGTGCAGGTGCGCACTGCACTGATAATGGGTGGGGGAAGGAGAAGGGGGAGTCTGGAATTAAAATTCACAGACATTTGGTCTCAGATACCCTGGTTCACAGGCTGACAGTTATAGAGGGTCACATCTGGCCCAGACCTTCAAAAGCATCTAGTCCAAATGAGGAACTGAGTTCCAGAGCCATGAGCAAGGGCAAAGTCAATTAACTTCTAGTTTGTGAAATAAACAATTAGAAAGTAATGTTGAATGGAAATGGACCCTTCTCTTGGCACTTTTAGCATCCTCAGTGACATTGCTGGATTCTTGAAATACATAATTCTTTGCTCCCAAAACATCTTTTGAGAGGATCCCAAGGGTTCTCTTTCACACCACAGCACTTCTCTGACTCTCCTTACTTGTAGGGCCTCTTTATTTCTTTTCCATTGCCCCTCACCTCTAACAGGCCCACCTGTTACATGTTTAATCTGGCCTTCCTGGCCTCTTCTGTACCTTAGTTAATTTCTCCAGAATTTCGCAGTGTTTTGAAACAGCAGGGAAACCAGTCTGATCTTCAGCTCCTGTCTGAGGACTGCCCAGCCCCATCTCTATCCCCTCCCTGCTATGTTCCCAGCACGGTACAGGGAACCCACCTTCAGAGAACCTGCAGGCCTCATGCCCATTCTTCTTCCTTCTTGCCTCCTCCTGAACTGCTGCAGCTACAGGCGCTGGGACATGGTGGAGTGAGGAAGCTGCAGTGTAAACACACTGTGGGCTCTGCCAGCTCTCCTCTGCCTCCTAGAAGGCAGAATCCAAATCCAAGGTGCCTGTCTCTGGCCTTCCTGGAAATCTTCCAGATGAAGCCACCTTCAGAGAAGAGGAGGGGTGGGGGGACAAGAAGATTGAGAGAAGAATGCTTGACTGGCTCAACCTGACCAGACCCTGTAGAGGCCAGCAGTGCAGCTTTTAAAAACCTTTAGAGCTTGCAAAGGGCTTGTGGGGATCTTCTCTTACAGCCCTATTCTCTGTCTTGCTGGAGAGGGATTGCAACACAGACAATAATACCTGCCTGAGTGACCTTTCTCTTTGCTCCTTTTCTTCTCCCTTTCCTTCACTTGCTTTCTCTATTTTTCCCTTTCTTCTGTAAAAATTTTCTGAGTGTCTATGTAAGAAAGCTCCAGACATTTTTAAAGTAACCCAGGTCTTCCTGTTCCTTCTCCAAAAATGTAATCTCTCAGACACTGAGAAAGATAATCCAAACCAACCACAAATGTCCCCTTGAGGGAAATGCCAGGAATTCTTACCTTAAAAAGCTGAGGCATTAGAGGAGCTACAGGAAGACAGAGTCTGAGCATCTGTCTCATTTGAGAGAGTGACTAAATACCCTTGGAAGATGTTGAGGAAGCAAGGCGATGAGTTTCTCAACAGGTTCACCATTTAACAAGTTAATTTAACCCCTCCCCTCATGGCAAAACTTTACTCAATTGGGAAGAGCTCTCTCTCTTGCGTAGTCTGTTCCTGAACTGCTCTTGCATCACATGTCACTTGGTCTTGCTATCCCATTCTGAAAATAAGCATTCTAGGATTATTCTGAACACCAGATCACCTCTACAGACAGCAGAGACTTGTAGCTGTTAAGTGCCCAGCTTTGATTTGCTAGGCTATGGATCTCATTCTGCAACAGGCTAACTTGATTAGAAATGCTGTCCTAGGGAAGCTATAGGCTTTCTGTTTGGGTTGCAAATGGCTATGGATTCCAAACACTGCTGAGAAGCTCTGTGGGGAGTTTCACAGAATGACAGTATAACATTAAGATCAAATACATGGTTTCTTAATTCACAAGGGCAATATATTAATTGTCACTCTAAAGGCCTTTTTCTTTGTATTGAGTGATTTCTATATTCCTAAGACTAGTGATTATTTAGGAAGATAGGAAGGTTCTTTTTTAGAAGGAATCACATTCAGTTAATCTGAGATTGAAATTAACAATGTCCATTTTAGTTGTATGTAGTAGATATAAATATATTACATTTGCTAAAGTATCAAATGATATAAAATAAATTAATAAATGATTAATATTTCTATTAACCCAGTGATTAATACACATAACTAATAGAGTATGTGAGCCAGAAGAGATCCACGTAAATTACTGAGACTATCCTTCTAATATATAAAAAAATAACATTAAGGAGTGTTTTTATCTTAAAGATATATCTACCATATGAGAACATAGTCCACAAGAGCTGAGATTTCAATGACCTTTTTCATATTTCCACAATATCTGTACAATCGCTTTTATAGTAGATACACTATAATATTTGTCAACTAAATATTTGTTCTAACAAGAATCAGTTGTATGCAACTTGTTAATTACATCAAGAAATTAAAAAGCATGTGAGCAATGAACATTGCTATAAATATCTTTTTTACTAAAAAGAAGAGCTAGACTAAAGATTATTTTATAATTTATTTTCAGTAAAGATATAAAGCACTATGTTAATACCTTTAAGAGTGCTTTTTTAAACCACTTACATGAACATCCTCCTTGTAATCTCTTACTAGGTAAAACTATAAATTATTTTTACCTATTCTTTAGAGTCATTACTAATAATTCAAAGAGGCAATGTAAACCTAGACTGTGGTAGCTATGTGTACCACTCTTTGAGATGATGGGTCTCCTGAGCTATGGAATTATTTTAAGATGATCACAATGTGAAGGGATCAACCATAACACTACGTTTCTCATTTATGGTTGGTTTCTAAAGATAACTTATGTTCTCTCAAGTGAATCAAAATAGTTTGAGTTGCTCACAGCTTGATTCACTGAGAAGTTCACAAATGGGGTGCTTTAGGAACTACTTAATGAATGAAACAGAAATGGAATAGCAAATTACTGAAGAATCCTCAAAGAGGTTTGACACTTTAATAATAAGGTACCTGTGAATACATTAAAGAGATGTTCTATACCCTGATCAGCTAACTTAAAGCATGAAAGGAAGATGATTTGTTATGACTCTTAGACTTGCTCTGTATTTCTCAACTGCCTTCCTTCACTGCAGTTCTAACACAGATGACCTGCTGTGTAGCCACCAATTTTTTATTTCTTAGAAGACAATGTGCTGTATTTCTGTTTGTTGCATTATTTTCAGGTGAACAATCTATTTTCTTTTGTTCTAACTTACAGTTAGGACTTAG